CTCTGGGGAAAGTCCTTGTCTCTTCTCAGCTTCTGTTCCTCAGTTCCTTGCCAATCTTCATGTGACCTGGCATCTATCTTTCCCCATCTCTGTCTGCCTGTGTTTTATATCTGATCTGCTCGCTTTATATCTCAAAAGTGGCTGGCTCAAGACACATTATGCACTAATACTGCCTCGTAAACATGACAAAGAAAACTCTATTCCCAGATGGTTGTAGGAGTTAGGATGGCAACACATATTTTTGGGGGGACCCAGTTCAATCTGTAACATCATCCCGTAGAGGCAGTTCTGTAAAAGAGCATAATGCTCAGGGCAGATAAGGAACCACTTCTTGGTCTTCGGGCCCGGGGGCTGGACGGGGCGTGTGTGTTGGCCACGGGTGTGGTGACGGCTGTCTTTCTGGGCAGTGTGAGGTGGACTCAAAGAGCGGAGAGCCACTGGACAGGCTGAGCTCAGAGGCCATCAGCTTCTGCCGGCATGTGGGCAGCCAGTCATCCACTGTGTCAGAGATCGTGGCACTTCAAGACCCCCGTGTCTACGCAGCAATCCAGAAGTGCATAGACGAGGTGAACGCGGTGGCCGTCTCCAACGCCCAGAAGATCCAGAAGTGGATCATCTTGGAGAAGGACTTTACCATTGCTGGCGGAGAGCTAGGTGAGCAGGCCAGAGGGCTGGTGGCACTTGGGGACTGTCCCTTCCTGGCATCCAGGGCCCCCTGGGCTCTGAGTAGACATGCCCTTTTCTGCGGATCTGTGGGCCAGTGGAGACCAGAGGGACACTGCCATCTACAGCTAGCTGTCCACACCCCCATCAGACACAGTCCCTTCTCCCCAGGGCAGATACATCCCCCACTCTCAGCATAAAACCCTGGCTCCTCACGAAGGCTGTCCAGCATCTCGTTCCTGCTGCCTTCTCCTTTCCTTAAACCCTGCCCCAACTACACACACAGCTCCTGGTTCCTCCCACTCTCCAGCCACAGGGCCTTTGCACGGAATGTGCCCTCAGCCTGGAATCCTCTTCCCCTTAGTTCTCTGCCTGGCTAGCTCCTTCTCAGTGTCCAGGTCTGACCCCAAAGGCCACTTTCTCAGAGCAGCCTTCCCTGACCACCACCCTTCATATGTCACCCTGCCTTCTTTCC